TAAATATCCTATGGGACAAGAGAAGCACCAGCTTGTAAGTTATTCCCATAATAAAACTTTCACTTTGACTTTGGCAAGCGATGTTTACTGGAGAAGTTAATGGATGGAAGAAGGTTCAACGTTGGTCAAACTTAGGCCTGGAGTGAGGTTATGCAAATCCTGATGGGGTTAGAGACACTGGCTAAGATGACCGTGTGTCTCTCTTTCTGCATACATCTACATATAGGTTATCTGCATTTTTGTTCTTCATCTTGATACTGATTTTGGCATTTTGCTTCCTCATTAATTGCCGGTATATTGAGTGCGAAGACAGTAACAAAAACCGGTTTACGCAAATTTCAGGGTTATTTCGGTTGAAACTCAACTCAACTCAAGTATCGGATAGCTGTTCTTTTCAATGGAGTCATCGAAATTACAATTCCGCATAAAATGCAACAATTGCGTTGACAATGCATGCTTGAACTGATATAAAGCACCTCAATTGGATGATAAACTAGGGTCGTGAAATGCACAGGAACCAATTCAGCCGATACTGGCATCTTCAGAACAAGTGGTACCACCCGGCTGAACAAGGAGATAATTTCGTTCACAGTATAAAACATTATATGCAATGGAGTGACGGTATGTATTACGAACGGTATTTACTCCATGAATTCTCACCTCATTTTCTTCTCGCTGTTAAACTAAAAAAAAAGAAACAAAAATCATGCAGCTAATTCAACCCCAGCTTTGAGTTTTAATTTTTTCCCTTGTACACCGGTGAACTCGGAGCGAGTTAATTGATAGTGATGATTCTGTAGACACCTAAGTCTCGATTGGGGGGACTCACTCGACAAACATTAATCCATCACAAATCTACCCAAGTACGCTCATCAATCCATGGGACTTGGCTTTGTTTTGGATTGCGGTTGGTTTGCCTCAAGCGCATTCATTCTTTCTAGCACGAAAGTTGTTTTCCTGAATAATAGAGCGAGTCGAGTCGGGTAGATAAAGCCGACGCGATAGATACATACACTCAATTCATGAGTTACAGTGCTGCGTGCATGAACGCAAATCGACTCTAGGAGAACACACACACCGACACATTTATGCAATTGCTTGTCCAACAAAGAAGTAGGACTGATTTGAATTGTGCTACGGTGCGACGGAAAACGGAGAAATATCATAAACAAAAGAGATACAGTGAGTTTAAACAGCGTACTCTTATTTCTACTTTGCGTCAAAGCAATACGGACTAAAGTCCATTCGACTCGGAATTACTCATTTAGAAACGTTTATTTTCATTTAACTGTTCGGTAACAGCAACAACAACGGCGACGAAGACGCTGTGATCGGATACTCTTAAGAAGAAATAACTTTCGATTCTCTAACGAAGAAGCGGAGATTGGGAAACTGAAGTGAACTGGCAGATAGTAAAAAACATGAGCGATATGTTGATACTTTTTCGGTGCTACGGTGCTATATATATATGAGCTGGGAGAAACTTTGGGGGTATTTAAAGAAAAGATAACGAGAAAAATGGGTGGGTGGGGTTTTGTTTCCAGTTAGACATAAAAGTGGCCGTGAATTTCGAATTAATTGTAGGGTAACTGCTCCTCAAAACGCAAATAACAGTCGCTTCCGCATAGTTACAAATTGATGAATATTTCAATCAGGGTAGAAAATGTGATGAGGCATTTGCGATCGGAACTGATAAACGCACATTGTCGAGTTTAGAAGATACCATGAACCCCGACTTCAGTTTTGTGACAAGCTCAGCATTTAGGGGGGGGGGTAGANATTCAAGTTCGCATGGATTCCGTTCGGTGAATGACAGGCGTGAGCAACACGCGTCGCTCAGCATGCATTTCCACGAACTCAGCAGGTCCCCCGGGCAGTTGTGCACCCGAGCCGCAAGGTGCATTGAACAGAAATTCAAAATGCCGTCACGACAAATCGGGGAACACACAAGCCCCAAATACCTACAGGCTGTAGACGTGTGAACCGTAAGCATGAAGCAAACACCAACTGGGAGCATCATCACACAAAGAAAATCGTGGGCCGAGCGAGAGACTACAAGTATCACACCGTGCATTGCGTGAGATTTTTAATCTACGCATGATATGAGGAGTGTAGATAGGTCA